TCAGCTCCAGCCTCGAGCAACAATCTCACAACTTCCAAGTGGCCGTTGGAGGCTGCCACATACAAAGCCGTTGCCCCATTGACACGTGCTGCTTCTTTGTCAGCACCAGCCTCCAGCAACAATCTCACAATTTCCAAGTGGCCGTTAGAGGCTGCACTAGGCAAGTCCGTTCTGCTTGGGATTTGTGGTCTTTGAAGCAGTCGTTCAACATGACTCACACGATTCTCTAGGCAGTTCCAAAGCAGTTCTTTCTCCATAATCTCATCAAAAGCACAAAAGGGCAGCACTACCAACTGTACAATTGGTAGTGGTTGTAAAAGCATGTCATCCTGCAATTCGCCAGTTTCGCCAGTCATGAGTCTTTGCTGAAACCTGGAGCAGCCAACCTGAGCCGAAATAAGCCTCTTCAGGTCCGGAACAGCTTTACCACTTTCCACCATGTACCGCAGCTCATCCTCATCAAGCTCAGCAACTGTGTTGCCAGACACAGCACAATCTGCATCATTCAGTTGAGCCGATCAGCTTGAGCCATGATCAAAAAGAAGGGAACCAGAAACATGCGGCAAAGACACCATCATACACCATCGCTTAAGAAGGGCTGGTGAAAGCAAAGCATATCATCTATTGGTTGATCTGTGGTTGCCACAGAAGCAGGGAACACACAGCTTAGCAAGGCTTGGTGAAACCAACAAACAATTGCTTGATATGTGGTCAGTGTGGCCATGGCTTCACCACATGGCAGCCTTTTCCACTTGGACGAGGACACAGCTGGGCTATGCTGGCGACATACTTTCGCCGTGTCCTTCTCGGCCCCAGCAGCCAGGAGGTACTTCACCACATCCAGATGATTACCTGGCGCAGCCCGAGCGAGCGGCGCGCTTCGTGACGCGACCGCACCGCGCGACGCGCGACGCAACGCTCGGCTGGCGTGACCAACGACAACGGCATCAACGACTGGGCTGCCTTTCGAGCGGAGAAGCAAGCCATTTGAGCTATGATCAAAACTCAGTATAATTGGATATAAGATATAAGTGGCATGGTCATCCCATCCCTTATAATTCATATAATAGCCAATGGATGACCAATGGATGACCATACCCTAGTAATGGTCTGCTTTATCCGTTTTGACCATGACTGGCTGTCATGGCACCCGGCACTCCCTGGTTGACCCCGGGTCTGTTCGGGAGGTCAACCTACCATGGTTCGGTGGGGGAGAACACCCGCAGCACCTTAATTAGGAGTCCGGGGCCACCTGGAAACATTGAATAGTCGGGTCATACTCTGGGTCATACTGCGGGCCATCCCGAAGAACCATTGTTTTACCCGAATCCTCTGGAGGGGTCTGGACCGACCCTCACCAATCCCTATGGTTTGGTTCGGGACCCGGAAGTAGGGCTGGTTTCACGGAGCGTCTGGGTATAAGGATTCTTCATTCCCAGATGCTCATGGACCCTCCTAACTAGGGGTCCGGACCCTCAAATCCCTTGGGTTTTGAGGGACCAAGAGCAGTTTGGAGCGTCTGGGATACCAAACACCTGGTCGTTCTCATTTCGGGAGTGGTCGAACGGCTCCGGCCAACGGGACAACAGAAAAGCGCGGACCGTGGACCGTTTTGCTTCGACGGACGCATTGGCCGTGTCAAAACCGCCTCGTGATTGTCCCAGAACCGACCAACAGAGGTTGAAGGACCCACACTAGACTATATACCAGTTGGGTACCCCAGGTTACGGGTCCTATAAGGTCACTGACTACCTCTCTTGGAATTGGTATAGGTTCACCGAACAAAAAGACGACGTCCTCGGTCTATTAGGCGTCGTCCATTTGGTGCTTCGCGTCGTTCCCAAATTGCCAAAACACCGGGTGGCCATATCCATCGGTGGCCCTGGAACTCCAGTCCCAAAAAACGAAAGAAATGGATAGAACGAAACCCAGTCCCAGCAAAGGATGTAACAGCTGGCGCCATGTTAGAACAACCATTCCAGGACCCCCAGTCCGGGTGGCAACAGCTAGTTGGGGCTATAAACAGACACCCCGACAGGAGGGTCCTGGTTTCTGGTTGGGAGGGCCATGACCGTTCCAGGAACCCCCCGAACGGCACGACTGCCATGGGGACGTTCGAAGCACGAGACAACACCGTCACCGTTTGTTTGGGGTAACCGGGTATATCCCAACCATCGGCCCAGTGGATGGATGGTTGTCTAAGCCTTTCCATCTCTCTAACATCGTGATTTCGATCCGGACTAAACCCATAGTTACATATGATAGATCTGGAACACCTATTGGGGTCTGTCCATGTTTGATCCGGACTAAACCCACAATGATCAGCACCTTCAGAGCCGTCCGGTGGGTTGAGATGGACGCCTCTTCATCTCTAAGAGGCTGTCTAGACACCTCGAACGGTCGGTCCTGGAAATCACCGAATCCTCCACAACCTTCGTCTCCACATCGCTCCATTCGTGCGCTGCCCTGCAAACTCCCACTCCCGCCCTACCTACTTCGGCCCCACTGCGGACCGAGCCACAGGCCGCGGCCGCGTACAGCGGCGTGCAGCCCTCCGGCATCTGGCGGGAGGCGTCCGTCGCGCGGACGGGCGGGGGCGATGGCACACCGGTGGGCGAGGTCGGCGGAGCCCACTGGGACTGGATAGTGTCGGAGCTGGTGAGGACAATTACACCTCCTGAACAAACATACACCCTCCTTTTTCTGACAAAGAGCTTCACAGAAAACAGTGGCGGAGCAAGAATGAGACACTGAATGAGACTGTATACTGTATATGAGACATTTTGGTGGATCTCAAGGTTAGTTGGTTGGTTGAGGGTTCCCAGCGTTTTGGGAGGACAAAAGCTTCTTTCTGTGATTTCCCCGACAAGATCTAGCGTCAGCGCCTCAAGGGGTTAACATCCTTGACTAGATAGCATACAATGTCACCACCAGCTTGCAACATATTCTGTGAAAGACCATCAGAATCATGTTGCACTCATCTTGTTTCAACAATTGAGACGGATCAACAAACACGTGAACTGCATGTCGTGCTTTTGCTCCACTCCCCGCTGAGCAGCTTTTCGTCTTCTTAGGAGCATTCGTCTTGGACGTGACCGGCGATCGAACGAGTCCGGCTCACGAGTCCGGTCAAGGAGTGCTTCACCACCCCACGGGACCCTGGCGGAGAGCCCATGGGTTCATGATTGAGTATCTGGTTCATTGGGAGCCCTGGTTAAGTATTAGCTGATTCAGTTCATAATACTGCCCTATAGGATCCGAACGGACCCTCCATGGCAAGGGGTCGAACCCTGCTGTTCACAAGGGGTTGGGGCCCCTCATGTACCCTCAAAACCCTTGTTTTGCTTCGGGTGCAGATCCTATCCGGGTGATTCATACTCAAAGATGACTCGGATCCTCCCTGTCTGTCCACCCTCACTCCGAAACCTCGCCTGAGTCTTCGCGACCTCCGCCTTCGCCGGCTGCCCCCGACCCACCGCCGCGGCCGCTGCCGGCGCCGCCGGTGCTGTCGGTGCAGGCGAAAGCGGCGCGGGGGCGGGGGGTACGGTGAGCGCCTTGGGCGCGTTGAGCTGAGCCTTGGCCTCCAACAGGAGATGCACCGTTTGAAGTCGACCCTCCTGGCACGATGGGCGCTGCGCTGCAGTCGAAAATTCGAGCCGGAACGGTGTTTTCTTTGGGGGACGAGTTCGGCGAGCGTTTGACGTGGAGTTGGTCTTTCCTTCCACGGAGAGGTCGAGATGGTCCGGTGGTTCACCGTTTTGTCTTTCCTTCCGCAGTGGCAAGTGGTCGCGAGAGGCTGTGGAGATGGTCCAGTGGAAAGAATCCGTACGGGCCCTTTTTTGGGATGAGAAGGGTCGGACCTTCTCTAGCGAAGCGGAGGGGGGAAAACGGACCCGGTTTCACAAAGCCTTTGCGGAACGGACCCGGGTTCTTAGGGCAAGGGACATTTGGAAGATGCAAAGTTTGGACTGGATCCACAGGATCTTGGTGGCTTAACTGCAGGTGGCAGTGGAATGGTGGCTTCTGTTTAGGCAGAACATGTCGCTGTTGCCCATGTGGGCCAAACAAGTGGCGACCCCGCGCTTGGTAGATAAAGCATTGGCGTGAAAGGCGCGGGAATCCCTTTCCGTGGTTACTATGATCCAACCAGTGTCACGCAACATCAAAGATTTAAGAACACGATCTATTTAATATCCTTTCTATAGATCAGATCACTCATGATCACTCAATTGTACCAATTATATCGGGTCAGTTCCCCGCCTCTCTATTCCTCACGAAGCGACGTCCTTCCGAGGTATCGTTTTGGAACATCCCACCTGGCCCCTAACCAATGATGCCCCACCTTTGTAATAACAGAGAGGTCGATGCCAGGTATATCTATGCACTACACCGTTTACCCACCTCTTGACTCCAACAGATCTTTTTTCAGCCAGGGTCAAGTGCCATCTGACTAAGGCAAAGAGTCAAAAGCGATGGTGGGATCCACGGTTCATGCGTGCCGCTCCTTTGGGAGAATACATATTATTGGTGGTGCACTTTTTAGGGTATATCCCCTTCCCATCAAATCAACCAACCAAGAGTAAACAGGCCAACGAACAGGCCCACATGACCGCGCTCGGCTGCGGCTGAAGCTCCTGCGCTGCGATGAAGGTTGCGGTGAGACCCTCGCGCGTGCGTCGCTCCACATCCGCGCGCGCCATCAAGAGCCGCTGGAGCACCTCGCTCGACCGGTCGCCGAAGGCACCGAACGACCGGTCGCCGTCGCATGGGGGTCGACGGTCACCGAGCTCCGGTCGCCTCCGGTTGAATCCCTGGATGTGCATTGGGCGACCCTGGATCCGTGCTATCTAACACTTGGGTAGATCCTAGTGCCAGTAATAGTGGATGAGGATGGTTCAGTTGCAGGCCTTTCTCTAAAAACAGTGATGTTCTTGTGTTACAGGTAGTGGGACAGACTCAACCTCTACCAATTGTGATCTACAAACACTGCCTGCAACTGCCTGCATATACTACTGCTCTCAGAACTTCCGGCTCAAACCCCAAAGACTATTCTAAGCAAGCCAGAGTTTTGAGGGTGTGTACAAGTGTAACTGGTGGTAGAATACTTGTCCAAACATCAGATTTGGGCCTTCAACAACTTGACAAATGTCCGTGAAATCTACATTTCGATCGGGTGATGATGTTCCATGTTATTCTGTTTCCCAGGTCCATGCCCACACACAACACAATAGGTGGCGAGCATTGGTGAGCAAAGTGGCATGAACAAAGTCCACACTCTACTTGAAACTACACTCGACCTCCGGGACATCTGACGCGAACAAGAAGACTTCCCACCGAACCAATGCGATGCGACACAAGACTGGTCTCACTTAATGTCTCACCTCAAGGATGTAGCAGGGCAGCCGGGTTCCTCGGGTTCCTTGGGTTCCTTCTTCTCAAGAGCGCTTTCTTTGACGCTCTCCGCTGGCGCGCGCGCGCGCGCCGGGGCGATTTGCTGCCTTCTCCAGACCGAACTCCGCCGCGTGGTGGAGCGGAGTGAAGCCTGGAAAGGAAGGAGCGGGGGCCCATGGAGCCGTGCCAAGGATCGAACGGCTGATGGATCGCCTGTTACGGCTGATCCATCGTGTTCCAGCTTCTGAGTGAGCAAATCTCTGGCGACCGGACTGGCACTGGGGAATGGTAACGCCGCCGCCGCGAAAAGAAACACCGATGGTTTCGGCACCGGTGTGGCAGCTTTGGGAAAGTTCATGGTGCGCTTGACCCACAAGAATGTTGCATCGAATGTGGCCTTGGAACACCTGTCTACCCTTTGCAGTGAAGGGCCTCGTGCGGCAAACGACCCTATGACCAGCACGAAGACAGTCAACTCATTGGGCAAACACCCTGCGGATCAGGGACCATGAAAAATGGGGAACTCAAATGGAACTTCGAACCTTGAAGGGGGTTGAAGAAAGCTCCTTCACCCAGAAACCTACTTCAAAACCAGGGAACCAAGGGTTGCACGACATCAACCAACCATTCAACTCCATTCCAAAAGAACGGAAGTTAGAGGTCCACAGCTCCCACTCCACCCCATTCCACATGACAGGTTGCGCGCGAGCAAGTTTTCCTTTTCTGCGGAGGAGATGAGGTCAAGATCGAGCTTAAGCATATTAGCTAGATGGGGTTTGGTTGATTTGGCACCTTCAAACAACAACTTCTGGATGTCCTCAGTCCGACGAAGGATGCTAGTCTTGACATTCTCTATCTTATGATGGAGCTGTAGGCCAGCAACATCGCGCTCGAGCTGCGCCACCAAGTCGCTGTCATTCCTCCTTTGAGCTTGGCGCTTCTCAGTCTGAAGACGGTGTATCCGCTTAGAACGTTTGCAGCCTTCCGCGTCCAGTCTGGTGTATCGTCCCTGATTGCCAGTGGTGGCGCTAGATATCTGTTCTCGAATGGAGGCATCGTTGTCTTCACGCAGAGACAGTGCGCACTTAGCTGTGCGGCTTTTGACGGTCAAACCAGCATTCAAAAGCTTGTTGAGTACAACCTGCACTGCTTTCTTACCAGCGACTTGTAACACATAGCTTGCTCGTAGTGCATAGACCTTTGCAATCGGTGTTCCAAGCTTTGAATTGAGAAAGGTCTTGCTCCGAACCAAAAGAGCTTCATACTTCTGCGAAATTCTGAGCGACAAAGACATATGTGAGGGGTCCAAAAGAATGCAACCATCCGAATCGAGCAACCCTGCCAAGTGTGCCCACGAAGACCTTGATTGTTTTGGAATGTTGGGAGGGCACCGCTTTAGCTCGTGGAGCTTGTCGGCTACCAATTGACGCTCATCTTTGTCGCATGCCCAATTGCTGGCCAGCTGCAGCTGCTCGGTCTTGCTCAAACACACTTTACACAGTTGCCTCGCTGCAGCTCTAGCCTTCTCACCCGAAATGCTCCACCGCAGCACTGGCTGTTTGATTCCAATGCCTTGGCTATGGATGCATATGCCTCCTCCGAAGAAGCGTCGAAACAGGATGAGGACCTTGGCATTGACTGCTACTTGTGAAATTTTCAGCTGACAGCCCGACAAATTGGTTCGCGGACTCACGCACCCGTCGCCGTCAAAGAAACCACCCAAGTACCCCAACTCAGCTGTTGTAGGGGATTTGCTCGCAGTCCGGTCACGCAACGGCAAGTTGTATGTCTTGCCGAATGCTTGGAAACAAGTCAACTTTGGCCAAGCCAATGTCTTCATAATCTTCTGCAGTTGAGCTTCCTCTTCCTTCAACTCCCGCAATTCTTTCCGGAGCTCATGCTCTTCAGCTTTGGACAGCGCTGAAAACGCATGGCAGTGGACTCTTTCCCACACCACCAGGAGTGCGAGCAGCCCCAGGAAAGGTCCAACAGCCCGTCGTCCAACGGCCCGTTCGGTCGTTCGAGATGCTGAGATCCCTCGGGCGGACATGGAGCAAGCTGAGCAGCTGCTATGGCTCGAGAAAAAGAATGCAAAGATGATATGAACACACCTGGGGCCAAGCAGGAAAGCAACAGCTGTATCACACATGGAGCCAGGGTAGTGCCTGGGGAGAGCAAAATGCTTTAAAAAACAACTCCTGCTGCAAACTCCACATGTGTGAGCCGGTGTGAGCTGGCTTCCATGCCTTTACAGTATACAAAGAATTCTTGGTGCATAGCATGTTGCATCGCATGTCAACTTGAACTCCTGCGCCGAAGATGCCTTCCAACTGGATCTGTTTGCAATCACAGAACTCGCTGCACCCCACTCTCCCACAGCAAAGCACACCTAACAAACTCAAATCAAAGGAGTGGCTTTAGATGCTGGAAAGGCGGTGAGAATCTGACGCTACATCTGCCATCCTCTTTTCGGCACAGCACTGCTTGCGCTGGCTTCCAATTGCAAGCTAAGTATCGCTTCTTCGAAACATGCGTGTGGTGAGCGTGTCATTCTATCCAGTTTGGAAGCATCATATTCAAAACAGCGCAATATTCCCATGTTTTCAAAAGTCAAACGGCGAACGATTCCGAAATGGAGCAGCATATGAGGGGGAAGGTCACCTTTGTTGTTGCCCCGTGGTGGGATGTGCACCAAGACCCAGTACCCTTGCAGTTGTATCTAAAACACTGACACTCCGACTCACTCACATGGAAGTGGAAGAGTTCATAAAGGAAAGTATACAGTAGATAGTATAGTCTCTGTGCCATCCACTTCCATGTGATGTGAGTCAGTCAGAGTTTAAGTCTTTCGCGGATGTTTGTCCACCAAACACAGATGCTGTGAACAGCACCCATCGGATATGGCCTTGGAACACCCGTCTACCCTTTGCAGTGAAGGGCCTCGTGTGGCAAACGACCCTTTTGACCAGTCACCCAGAAACAGATTCTACAAGGTTGCACGACATCAACCACCTCTACATTCGCCCGAAAACCGAAACTCTTCTTCCTGGTGGGGAAATCCTTCTGCATCGGCCGGCGGTGAAAAATATCCCTTCCCGAAGGGCAGGGGGTTCGATGACTGCGGCTTGACCAACCTCCTGCACCCACCCAATTCGACAGGTGACGTGCCAGCAATTTTCTCTTGTGGGGAACGGATGAGGTCAAGATCAAGCTGAAGCATATTACCTAGATGGGGTTTGGTTGATTTGGCACCTTCAAGCAGCAACTTCTGGATGTCCTCAGTCCGACGGCGGATGCTAGTCTTGACATTCTCTTTCTCATGGTAGAGTTGTAGGCAAGCAATATCGCGCTTGAGCTGCACCACCAAGTCGCTGTCACTCCTCCTTTGAGCTTTCCACTTCCTAATCTGGAGACGCCATATGCGCTTAGAACGCTTGCAGCCTTCCGCATCCAGTCTGGTGTATCGTCCCTGATTGCCAGTGGTGGTGCTAGATATCTGATCTCGAATTAAGGCATGGTTGTCTTCACGAAGAGACAGTGCGCACTTAGCTGTGCGGCTTTTGACGGTCAATCCAGCATCCAATAGCTTGTTGAGCACAACCTGCACTGCTTTCTGATCACGGATTTGTAACACATATTTTGCTCGTAGTGCATAGACCTTTGCAATGGGCGCTCCAAGCTTTGAATTGAGAAAGGTCTTGCCCCGAACCAAAAGAGCTTCATACTTCTGCGAAATTCTGAGCGACAAAGACATCCCTGAGGCGTCCAAACAAATGCAACCATCTGAATCGAACAGCCCTGCCAAGTGTGCCCATGAAGACCTGGATTGTTTTTTAATCTTGGGAGGGCACTGCTTTAGCTCGTGGAGCTTGCATGCAAGCAATCGACGCTCATCTTTGTCGCACGGCCAATTGCTGGCCAGCTGCAGCTGCTCGGTCTTGCTCAAACAGACTTTACACAGTTGCCTCGCTGCAGCTCTAGCCTTCTCACCCGAAATCACCCACTGCAGCACTGGCTGTTGGATTCCAATGCCTTGGCTATGGATGCATATGCCTCCTCCAAAGAAGCGTCGAAACAAAATAAGCACCTTGGCATTGACTGCCAGTTGTGTTATTCTCAGCTGACAGCCTGACAAACTTTTTTCAGGACGCACGCACCCGTCGCCGTCAAAGAAACCACCTAAGTACCCCAACTCAGCTGCTGAAGGGGATTTGCTCGCAGTCCGGCTTCGCAATGGCAAGTTGTATGTCTTGCCGAATGCTTGGAAGCAAGTCAACTTTGGCCAAGCCTCTTCATAAACTTCTTCAGTTGAACTTCCTCTTCCTTCAACTCCCCCAATTCTTTCTGGAGCTCATGCTCTTCAGCTTTGGACAGCGCGGAAAACGCATGGCAATGGACTCTTTCCCACACCACCAGAAGTGCGAGCAGCCCCAGGAATGGTCCAACAGCCCGTCGTCCAACGGCCCGTTCGGTCGTTCGAGATGCCGAGATCCCTCGGACGGACATGGAGCTGAGCTGCTATGGCTCGAGAAAAAGAGAATGCAGAGATGACATGAACACACCTGAGGCCAAGCAGGAGAGCAACAGCTGTATCACACATGGAGAACACACATGGAGCTAGGGTAGTGCCTAGGGAGAGCAAAAGATTTACAAGACACCTCCTGCTGCAAACTGAACATGTGTGAGCTGGCTGGCTTCCATGCCTTTACAGTATATAAAGGATACTTGTCCCCTTGGTGCATTGCATGTCGGCATGTCAACTTGAACTCCTGAGCCGAAGATGCCTTCCAACTGGATCTGTTTGGTGCATTTCGCTGTACCCAACTCTCCCACAGCAAAGCGCACGTACAAACAAACTCAAGTGAAAGGAGTGATGCTGGAAAAGCGGTGAGAATCTGACCTTAGATTTGCAACTTTTATGAATATCCGGGCTTCCAGTTGCAAGTATACCTTTTTCAAGACATGCATGGGGTGAGCGTGTCATCTTTTATCCAGTTGTGAACCATCATGTTCCAAAACGATTTCCACGCTCTCGAAGAGTCAAACGGCCAAGGACTCTGACATGGGGCAGCATATGAGGGAAGGTGACTTTTGGTTGTTGCCTCGTGGTGGGATGTGCGTCAAGACCCAGACCCTTGCAGCTATATCCAA